CACGTGTCTCATATCAACCCGTTTTCATCACCTCTTTTACCAGCTTCACCAGCAGTTCTTATAGCAGCTGCTATTTGTCTGCTAAGAAGTTGGAAAGCTAATTTTACTTTCGTACTCCTAAAGTTATAAGGGTTAAAGTGTCTATCGCTCAAAAACTCTAGTAAATTAGATAAAGATTTAATTTTATCTATCTCATGCGTGTCTAATATATCTTTCCAAGAAATAATAACTTCGTCGTGTACGAAAATATATTTATGCATTTTCGACTGATAAATCAAACATTTGATAAGCTGAGGCCAATCAAAAGTTGCAAAAATTTTCTTTTCTTCATGCTTAAAGTATGGTTGTTCTACGTCTACTTTTAAATGTTTTTTAAACAATGATTGGTTACTTGAACCTTGGTCGTATACAATAATTTCAACAACAGCTCCAATTCGAAACAGTGCTGATAAAATTTGACCTAAAAGAATATGCAACTGTTCAGCAGATGCACCATTTTCATTAAAACCGAAACAAAAAAGCTGGCGCCAAAAATTTTTAGCATTAATACTATCCAAACAAAATAAAAGGTCATATCTAGCAGCTTTTGCATTCCTCATATTACCACCCATTTAATCCAAACCTTCTATCCCGTCGTATTTTGGAGAATATTTTTCCATTTTTTTAGGCTCATCTCGTCAAATTTTAAAGAACATATACGCTGCCTAATAACTAATAAACTTAACTCCTGTTCGATTTTTCTCAAATCTTTCATACTTAATCCCAGCTTTACATCTAACTACGCTATCCAACTCCTAACGATTGACTCCACGGCTAACCTTATCCCTAATTTGTTTAACTGAGAATAGCTAGCTGCAGAATGATAATACATTATTTTACACTTTTGTTCAGCAAATGTGAACTTTTGTCTGTTTTTCGGTTTGAATTGCATTGCTACCAAGGTTTAACGAGACTCACTACACTCAAGGTCAGTCATAAAATCATGTATATGTATCATTTGTTTGGCTTTTTCAAGATCTACGCGTTGTTTTAATCGAGAATTATTTCGTTTGACATTTCTGTATACCGTACTTAAATGCTTCACTTTTTGTTCAAGAAACTTTATCCGACGCTTAATAAACCGCGTTTTCTGTTCATACTTGACTGAACAAAATTTTGGGATATTGGCTTTTTTTTCAAAAATCTATTACTTTGAATACGCTGATTAACATGCTTCTGAGTTTCAATTTTATCAATCATCACATCCTTAGCGATATTGTTACTATCATGATCAACTTTATGACTCAAATAAACTTCGTTGGATTCACTTTCATCAACGTTTGAAAAAATGTTGTTTTTCGAAGGATATAATGAATCATTCATGTGTTTTGTTAAGACAAACGATTCACCACTATTTTCGATGCTGCAACTAACTATGCTATTTATATATGCAGGGATTGAAAACGCTTATCTGCACTTTCTCGCTGATTACTCACAGCAATGTCCACTGGAAAATGATCAGTGCATAGATCTGCTGATCGTATAGAAGATGCTGACCAAGTAAGAAGATCGTTGTTGCCTGTGTAGAGAAATATTTCACCAATTTACCTATTTATTTAAAAAATATGTTTATTGAATAACCTGCTGTATTTATCGACAAAATAATGAACGTACCGTTACTATAAACAATAAGTAAGAAAAAATGTTTTTTCAAGTTGAAAAACTCCATTATTTGCTGTGTGTGAGTATATTGGCGCCATTTAATACCAGACTTGTGCCAATTTTCAAAATCTTTTAAAGACTTAATTCATTGTCAAATTTAAACATATTATAGTGAATTATTACACTGACAAACGTATGTATTAGAAGAACAACAAAAAATGTTCATTGTGATTGTTTACTGTATAAAATTTGTAAGCAAACTTTCGGAATTGTGAAATAAAGTTGCTAATTAAGTCAGTAACATAACCTTAATATCATCGTGTTGAAGCACGAACTGAGATAGTCTGTAAAGTGACATGGATGTGACGTGAGAGACTGCAATTGACGTAACTGTATGCTTATGATTACATGCCACGTATTTTATTTTATTTACTACAATGAATTCATTGATTTGTTAAATTAAATTTCTTGCTAATAAAAGATCTGTAGAGCATACGTTTGTTATGATTTCTCTCATGTATATACCAAACAACTGGAGTAGTTGTGAACGTAAATAATATACAGTCAAAAATGCGTTAAGTTTGCAAAAACTTCTGCAAGTCTACAATTCTACCTTACCATTAGCTTTCTTTCCTCCAGGGACGTGCACACAATTAAAGTATCATTGTTCAAAGTTAAATGATACAAAAATATTGTATATTAATTTTCAAAATTTTGTGTCGATTTGTGAATAACATTAATCAAGTGAAAAAATCTAACTTGGTACAAAAAAAACTTATATATGCACATATGTGTGTGTATAAGTGAATACGTATGTATGTGTCACGGAGCCCAAAAAATGTATTTTCTTCGTTATATACTATATTATATACTAGACTTGAGTTCGGTCGGTCTTAAGTTCTCTAAGGACTTCTGTCATTTATTTAATTTTAGAATTTCTTACAAGAAATGTTATACTGTACTTGCTTTGTTTCTTCGTCAAAAAAGGAAAATAAAGGAATGCTGCCAGGAGATATTTTTAGAGAAGATAACGAAAACGTTAAATCCACTAAAAAAAAACTCGAGTTATTCAAAAAGTCGGTTGATGCAAAAAAAAAAAATGAATAAAATTTGGTTTAGAATATATCTGATTAAAAAATTTTCAATGTTGGTAATAACGGACAAAAGAAAAGTTCTATATAGTCCTGGAGAACTTCGACCAAATGCTGAGCAAGCTCAATGAGAGGCTGATAAGCATTGAAACCTCCAGGGCTCAGTCAACAACCGGTCCTCTTTTTTTCCTTGCCAAGGGCTGGAAGAAGAGCATAAAAAAATACTATTAACTTTTTTAGATAAAAGATAGGCAGATAATATTTCTGAACGTAGTATGGAGTTTATCATTACAGTATTTTGAACTGAATTAATCATAGACTTGGACTCCAGACTTAGAATACTTTTAATTACAGCTTAACTAAGGACGTAAATGTTAAGGTGTTTTTCGATAAACTGAAATCAGAACTTTATTTAAAACACCCTTTACAATGACTACAATTTGGGAAAAAATGCATGAGATTAAATTTAATAAAGGGAAAGAATCGGTGTCAGAATTCATTGAAGGGTTCGAAGAACTCGTCATAAATTCTAAAATAATAAACAAGATAGGCCCCTTTTCCGGAGAAGAAAAATTTTATACCGTAATTTTGGGACTGATCACTAGTGTGCAAGTTACTGACTTTACACTCAAAATTCAGAGCAAGGATGGTTAGGAATTGATATACGGTTATCTCTTGTCCTATACGTTAAAGATTGAGTCAGAGGGCTTATCAGAGGCTTCTGGAGGCCGTTCCACGAGAACAGCATTAGCTGCGTCTTAGCCCCAGGATCACCTTCACTGCTTTTATTGTGACGACTGAGACCATATGGCAGAAAAATGTCAGAAGGCTGGGACGGGACTGAAAAGTGCTACTCTTGTGGCATGTTTGTGACGGACATTCCAGGCCACAAGACGAACAGCCCAAAATGTGATGAGAAAAATAAGTCTGGTTCAAGGGATTTTAAAAGGTAGAGTCGTAGAAGTCAAGGAAATCGAGGTCACCGCATGGCCATGGCGATTGACGGAGTCATTCCAAATCCTGAAACTTTGGATAGAAAAGGGACTCTAGCAACGTCAGAGATGAGAATGATTTCAGAAGCCAGAAAATGTCCAACCAGGACCGTAACACTAAAAAAAAATAAAATGCGTCAGGGTTAAATAAAGGTGAGTGAAATCTCTTACATTAAGCAAGCCCCCCAAAACTTTGTTTTTAAATTCTGTGAAAGATGCAAATAATTTTAAATTAGTCTAGACAAATAAAATCAAGTTTATCGCTGATGAGGGAGCAACCGATTATTCAAGTCATAAAATTTATTTAAAAATCGTGACAAAAGCTAAGTCAAGAAAATTGAATTTGTGAATTCAGACTAATCCGCAGGTTTAAAAACAAAGGGAGTGGGAAGTCTGCTACTTGAAAATAGTGATAACAAAGTTACGTTGAACGTAATAGTATATGCTCACGAATCGATCAAAAACTTACTGTCCTTTCTTAGATCCGCTGACATCTATGTATGTGTTATCAATTAAATAACGAAGGAATTAGCATTTTTATCCTAAAATAAAAAATGTATAGAAATCAGGAATGTATCAAAAACCGTACTGGACAAATGAATTTGTCAAGTCAGAAAGTAATATAAAGTTTAGCTAGAGATAGATTGGAAATGCCGAGAGAACGAAAATTCTAACGGCAGTCAGAAGCACAGACCAGTCTGGCAAACTTAGCTCTGGAAAGCATAATCGGATATAGAAAACTCGAAGAGCTCGACCGGTATGGTAGATAAAAATGATGGATCTTTTGACGACGTCTTTTTGATATGTATTTTCTTATAAAAAAAAAAAATAAAAAATAAAAAAAAGAAAGAAAGAAAAAAATCATTAAAATACTTTTATACAGACAAAAGATATATATTACGTTATAACTAGATAAAAGAAACGAGACCCTAGCGTCGATAGGCAATACCAATCTCATAATGTAACCTTACTGTATTCATGTTTAACATATTTAAAGTGTATGAGGCCATAATGCTAGAGCTACAAAACTCTATTGCCTTCAGAAAAAGTAATTGAAAATGATTGTAGTTACTAAGATAGTCAGGCAGAGGGTAAGGTTTATGCATTTATTTAAGGTTTGTAACTCATAATCGTTTTCTAGCTGACTATGGTTAGAAAAAAACCTCATCGGTGTCAGTCTCATTGGTCATTCAAAATGTTTAACTATTGTAAATCATAAAACAAGTTTACATTACTTAAAAAATTTTGTCATTTAAAATAAAAACTACAAACCAACCAAGCATTGAAGTTCTGCATTTTCTTGAGTTGAATTAATTTTGCCATTTTCGTGTTGCATTTTTAAAATGCACGAATTCTGTTTTAATCTAAAAATTAATTAATGTTGTTTAAAATATATTTTACATAAAAAAATAGCTTTCGACCAGTATTATCTTACGTTAAATTCTTTATTTCCTGGCTCAAAATTTTTAAAGGTACTGCATATGTATAAAATATTGCTCTGGGAAGCTGTACGCCAGTATTATAGTTTTGCAAGATGAAGCTGAAAAATTAGAATAGTTAAAAATGGTAAAATCAGTGTACGCAAAGTTTTGCCACTTTAATTGCATTACCTCACCTTTTTTTTAAATGAATGGAGCATAATCCACCAGCAGCCATTTTATATTTTATGGCTTATTGAATGAATTATTTCATATCTCAGCTCAGAATATCCACTTTATGTGTTTACTGGTATGAAAATCTGAATCATGATAAAAAAAAAGTAGTAACAATGATAACATTAATGGGAAGTTTAAATTATAAGTTAAAGTTTAAGTAAAAAAGTTAAAATTATTATAGCGGATGATTTTAACAAAAATAATAATGTTAAGTGAGGACTTGCATAAAAAAATTAATTTATTATTTTATTTGAAATTATTCTATTTTATATCACATTTTTCTCTTTATCAATATAATTTCACATGCCTCCATTGGGCCATTTTTATAACCCCTGTAATAACTATTGTAATTATTGTTATTAAAATTACCATTTCTGCCCCTGTAACTAAAGGTCTGTTGGTTGGGATATTACTTGAGGTTGGTTATGTCTTCCATTTCGCTGTCTCTCCTCTTCAACTCTATCTTGCTTGCGTGAGCGGCAGTCTCTTACGTAGTGTCCCAGTCTCTGACAGTTATTGAAATTTATCATTTTTTTTTTTTATCTCTAGAAACCTTTCTGTCGTTGATCAACGCTAGTAGTTTTCGGCATTCCTGAACCGTATGCCCGGATCTAACGTCACAGTACATAAAAAGTTTTTTTTTGCTGCTGCTGCTGCTTCTTGTGTCCCACTAGTGATTTCTATTGTGTTTTCTCCTTTCCTTGCCAAGTTTACTAGTGGTCCTTACTCGGTTGTTACGTTAATGTATATAGGCTGCGCCCTTACACTTACTGATATTGCGTGGCATTAACTAAGGTCCCTTTAGATTTTCAGTGCTTCTAATAATGCTTTACAGAGGGTCCTCAGTTAGAAACTAGTAATTTTGCACCTAAATGTTAGTCTATAGTACAGATGTTACAACTTTCAGTCATAGTCTTTTATTGATTCCCAATTTTCTTGAAAAAACGTGTACTCCGCTTATGCTCTCAGTAGTAAGTTACTTAGATTATGATAATTCCACAAGGTCTAGTGGCACTACGATCAACCCGTACTTTTACTATTACTGCCTATGTAGATATTTACTACCACTTAGGAGGCTACATGGCTGCCCTATTAGTACATTGTTTACGCCAACTCATTTTGGTGGGTATTCTGCTCCAGTCGTGCAATTGTATGCCTGTTGCTCGTCGCGCGGGGGCACTTCTGGTTAGTCGACATAAACATTCACTACATACAATCACTACTTTCAAACTTTGTACACAACGCTAGGGCAGTCGTTGCAGGTGGGACTGAGGGAAATTGGCGATTTCCGGCCGGCCCGAGCAAGTAGCACCTTTTGTTAGAAACAGAGAAGGCTGCTGCCTTGATTTTGACCCTTTCCTTTCCAAATTTTTTATTTAAAGAAAATAGGGTAGTGCTCGCCTTTATCGCTCAGCACGCAACAAGGAAGATACCACTATAGATAATGTCTAAGTAAAATAAGTACCTGATGCGGTAACTCCTCAGAGACAATTTGCTGGCAGTTCCGATCTGGTGAAAGCCCGGGTGACTCAGCTCCTTCAGGCAAGGGTTGGTGAATGCGACAGCTCGTCTTTGCATACATCTTCTACAGAGGCGAAACCAAAGCCAAAGAAGAAATGAAGGCAAGGGGGAAAAACTCCGAGTCCTAAGTCTATTCCAGAAAAGGCTTCAAAAAACCGAGAGGTCTTGGGTTGCAGCGGCAATCAAAAGAAGACGCTGCTGACAGTCAGGCCGAAGGAGAAAAATGGACGAAGGTCCAGAGAAATCTCCTTTTCTGAAGAGAATTCTCCAGAAGTCGAAGGCTACAACAATTAAACCGTTAGGGGTAAGAGTGCAGTTCTTAAATGTCCCCTAGGAAAGGCGCCGACGAGCCAGGTCCGAAGCCATTTTGGTAAAACCCACGGAGGGCAAAAAGTATTCCGAAGTCGTGGTCCTGATAAAAAGGGTTGATGTGGCCATGATAGGCTTGAGGCGAACGTGAAGTAAATCAGGGAGATGAGAGCACAAAGTGTTTTCGTCGAGCTGAAAGGCACCACAGTTTGGCGTCGCGATGCGTTCGCCGAGGCCTTAAAGAGTGCTGTGGTGGATGCTAGCGGCGTTAGGACTCTCACTCTGCGCCTGACTTTAGAAATGAGGGATGTGGACCCTATGGTGACGAAGCAGGACGATAAGACTGCACTTAATATCTGCTTTGACGAGTAAGAGTCCCGCGATGCAGTCGTGCGGCTATCGGCGAGTACATTCAGAGGAAATAGAATCGTCTACGTTGAGGCACCTGCGTCAGCGGCCATCATCCTCGATAAAAGGGATCACATACAGCTGTGCTGGGAAAACTGCAGAATACTCAGCACTGCTTCAGGTGCCTGAGCTTCGGCCACATTGCAAGTCAGTGTGACGGGCCCGACAGGACCGGGGGCGTGCTGAAGGTGTGGTGAAAAGGGCCACATGGCACGAAACTGCTCCAAAAAAAGAAATGAGCTGTTTCCTGTGCGAAAGTGACTTCGACTCCAAGGCCATTGCTTGAGGGGAGTCAAGAAACGACTTCAGAGGGCGGGCGGGGCTAGAGATGGCCGCAAGGCCAGATCTCATCGTCATGTACTCTGGTGGCTTAGCAACGTTAAGGCGGCCTGGTAACTGTAGCACGATCATCGATCTTACGATGGTATCGTCAAAAATGGTGGCACGGGTGTCTGACTGGCGAGTCCGAGAGGACTACATAGCCAGTTATCACCAATATATTAGCTTTGTGTTAAACGAGGACCGTGGTGGATGCTCGCAAGAAGTGATATGAAGGCGCGTTGCCAGGTAGAATGTGACAAAACTCAATCGAGATTTGCTGCAGGAAGCCATGGTAAGCGCCCCACCTCCTGCTAATTTGAGCAAGGTCACAAGTTCATTGGAGGTAGAGGCACTTGTGAACGGCACTATGAGACGTGTCAAAAAATGGTGCGATGCATGTATACCCAAAAAGTCAGCCAGGAAGGGTCAACGTTCATGCTACTGGTGGACCAAAAAAATCGATAGCCTGCGCGGAGAGGCACATCACCTATGGCGTCTTGCACAGCGACACAAAACTCGCAAAGACACCGAGGTAGCTGTTGCTGCATACAGAAAAGCAAAAAAAGCCTTGGTGAGGGCGATCAAGGTCAGCAAGAATTGATACTGGCATAACCCATCGCTAAGGTGGATAAGAATAGGTGGGGCTTGGGCTACCAGATCGCGTTAAAAAGACTGCGCGGCTTGGACCTGACGCCATCGATGGAACGTTCCTTCTTGGAGAGGATAGCTTCTTGCCTCTTTCCGGAGCATCCCGATAGGAGGCGCGAGGACATAAAAGCAGGACAAGTGCCACTCTTTATCCTCGATGAATTAAGATCGATGGCATCGGAGACGCCGTGGCGAAAAGCCCCTGGCCCGGACGGGGTGCCTTCCGAAGTCCTTAAGGCCATAGCTGTGGAAAAGCTACGTTTTGCTGGACACGTTCAATGCGTGCCTGCGCGTTGAACTGTTCAGGGAGCGTTGGAAAATTAAAGGCTTGTTCTTTTGGACAAGGAATACACCCCACCCTTTGGTCGTGTCGTCATTCCGATCCATAGGTATGTTGGACAAATGTGGAAAATGCTTGAGAGGCTGATAAGAACTCGCTTGAAAGAAGAAGTCAGCCTCTCGAACAACCAGAACGGGTTTCGAAAGGGGCGTTTGACGGTCATGGCTGTGGCTGAGGTTATTAAGTTGGTTAAGGAGGCATGGAAACCCTCTCATAAAACGGGGAGCGTCTGTATCCTGGGGACTCTCAACATAAAGAATGCCTTCGACTCGGCCAAGAGGTCACGCAAAATATGGTGGGCGGTCGCGATAGTGCCGGAGTGGCTTTGGGATCACGGTTTCGAACTGGCGATCGAAAAGACGGAGATGGTCGTTCTCAACAGGCGGAGATGGTTCGGGAGCACTTTCGCCTGAACGTTGCGGGTATGGTAATCTGTGCAAGTCTGGTGGTGCGCTATCTGAGAGTGTGGATTGATTCACAGCTCACTATGTGGAAGCACATCAAAAGAGCATCCGATAAAGCCGCTTGGGACGCTTTCACGGTTAATGCTGAACGTAGTGAGTCCACGGGAAGCCAAAAGACGGCTTTTTGCGTTGGTCTCCAACTCGATTCTGCTAGACAGCGTGGAGGTGTGGGTGGACGCGCTCGCAAGGAAGGACATCCGAGAGCGCCTCACTTTGGTGCAGCGCATCGGATCCCTGAGGATCGTGTGAGCCTATCACATGGTCTCCTTCGCTGCCGCTATGGCGATAGCTCGAACAATTCTCGTTGTGTTGCTTCCTCTAAAGCCACGAACGAAGTTCCTGGGCTCTGGTGACGAAAGCGATAGCGACAGGCGGGAGAAAATGTTGACAACGTGGTAACAGGAGTGGAATCAGGCTGGTGTGGGCAGATGGAAGCACCAGATGCCAATCCTGCGACCATGGCTGGAGAGAGTACATGGAGAGGTGAATTACTACGTTACATAGTTCCTCTCTGTGCATAGCGACTTTAATGACTATCTCCATCGCATGCCGTGTATAGCATAACCCAGATGCACTTACTTCCCTGCGTTGAATGATACCGTCAAACATACGTTTTTCGTGTGCGAGAGATGGTACTGTGAGTGCCATCAGCTGATAGATGGGCTCAACGTGGCACGCACTCCTGAAACCAATATCTCTAAGATGCTATGCACCGAAGAGGGATGGAAGGTAGTAGATGGCTTCGTCGGGTCTGTCATCCAGCTACAGAAAGAAAAGGAGAGAGCCGCTGCGCAGGAATTCCCCCCCCCCCCTGAGTAGGCCGTCAGAAGTACTAAGGTCTTCACGGTAAGTGAAGTTTAATGCGAAGTTAAGCTGCGTTAAGTACATTTACTCATCAGCAAGAAAAAGCATTAAGCATTTAGTGGCACTTGCAAAGGTTGCAGCCTACAATGAAGCACTGGATAACGGGTGCCGGTCCTCAGAGACCCCGAGTTCTTTTCAGGTTTCAAGAAGATTGGCATCTTTAGCAACTGGTAGCG